ATGCGGCCTGCCTCTGCGCGGTTGGCCACCTCTTTCGCCGCGGCCACACAATCCTCCTTCTGCAATTCCATGACCTGGCCCGCCAAAGGCCCCTTGGGAAGTCAACGCCAAGACGAGGGCAAGCATTACCGTGAAGGAGAGGGCCTTCAGGGAAACGGGTCCTCCTTTTTGTTCGTCGATCTCGGGCTTCTGGGGCCCTCCTCGGGCCCGAGACTGTCAGGAATTAACTCAGGATGAAGAGTTGGTCCTGGGAGAAGGCCCTGGGTTCCTGGATCCGTTTCCTTCATGCTAACATAAAGAGAGAATGGGAGCGGGCAGGAGGGAGGAGGGAAGAGCACGACAGGAAGCTGGAGTGATGCCTTAACCTGTGTCAAGCCTCGAGTCAAGCAAGCACGAGGCAACCCCGACAGCGGAACGCCACATGGTCAGGCTAAATATGCAAAACAAACGACGTGCCATATCACATGATATACACGTTGTTCAAACCTTGACAACAACAGACGTCCGGGCCACGTTCCACACGAACAAACAATATCCTCTATATAGTTCGTCCTCTTTCCAATTCGAAGAGGTAACGACTAGCCAGGATGCACAACACTTCGTTCCAGAAGCACTGAGAAAACATAATCACGCCTGAAAGCGGTAAAGTTGCGACTTTCACCACCCCAGGCACTTTCTCATCGTGGCCCGACCAAGAGCTATTTGTAACGCCTCTTGAATGCCCTCGGGTCCAGACCAAGATGCCCACATCATTGACAAACTGTGCGTCTAACATGATTTCTGCATTCTCGCATTGTCAGTTTGACGAGCGTGCAAGACGGCCCAAGAGGCTCCCAGGACGGCCCTGATAGCGGCCACGAAGCGCACTCCCCCAGACCGCTGAAACCAGGACTCTCCAGAGATCTCCAGAGGCTCCCTTGAGACCCCTAAGAAGCCTCCGAGACGAGAGGCCTCCACGAGGCCCCCACGAAACTCCCAAGAGGCCCCTGACGGACCCCCAAAAGGCTTCCAAAGAAACCCCTAGAAACGTCCAAATCGCTTGTGGTCCGCAGGCTTCGTGGCTTCATCCTCAACCACAACCTGCACCTGGTAAACATAATGGAAGCCCGTCCCCCACGAAACAGAAACATCTTCAATACCTGGCAGAAACAAGATTTCGTCGCCCCTCCGGGCCTCTGGAACTAAGGGAACATTACAACCATGCTGTTTCGTCATCCAACAATCTGGGGACATACAGCATGCTTGCCGTTTGATCTTCGCGTCGGCAGAAAAAAAAAAAACGCGCGCAACGTCGCGCACAGTCGTGGAGCAATGACAACTGACGCTGGCAATTCGAAAATTCACTCAAACCTGTTTGGCCGCAACGACTTGACATGTCTTCAGCTGGCGGCCCAGTGCGCCAAACACAAGCCTGATTCGCAAGGGGGACTGGTATAGCACAGTGCCCTATAACGAAGCTTGTTGTTTTCGCTTTGGGGAAGGGGGTCGTCTTTGGGATGTGGGAAGGGTTTCTTTGGATGTTCTGTTTCCCTTTACTACAATAACGATTTTTCATAAGCCACAAAGGGGATCTTATTTCACCCAGCACAAAAAATATGTTTGTCCCCCGCCAAACCAAAATCCTTGTTGCACTCTGTTTTTGTATTCCGCCACACAATGAATCCTTGTTCTGAATAATCGGCCACAAAAAATCCGTCTGTATTCTGCCACAAACGGAATCCTGTTGCAATCTGGCACAGACGGAATCCTTTTGTACTCCGCCGCAGAAAAATGTGTGTTTTAAATCCGCCACGAAAGGAATCCATCGGTAATCCGCCACACAAAGAATCTCATTGTATGTCGCCACAAAAGAGGCTCCTTTTGTAACCTGCTACACACGGAACACGATTGACATTGATCGAATGGCTGAGAGACACACGTTTTCACAGCTGTCCAACGGTTTCTTTATAGAACTGTTGGTTTCCCCTGTGCCCGTACATGTTTCGAAGTGCTTATTTAAATAAGAAGCTGGTTTGCTTACGCAGGCACAGCTATCATAGTTCTTTCACAACAAATCGCGAATATGGCAACTTGGCTCTGCATAGCTGGAAAACCAGACAGCTATGACCGCTGACTGGTGTATGAGAACGCACACGGTTGACTGCTGTGATCAGTAAAGAGCTGTCCAGACACACGCACAATCGTTGTTGTTTGGAATAAGCTGTGCACACACGCACAGTTATATATATATATATACATACATACATACATACATACATACATACATTCATATGTATGAAACAGCGTGATCCACCGCCGCTTTATTGTGGAAAATTCCCCCCCTCTTCCTCCGGAACCCGGGGTTCCCCCCCCCTCCGAAAATCCCCCCTGCTGGACCCCCCCCCCCCTCCCCCGGCAAAACCCCCCCCTCCCCTAACCCCTCCCCCCCCCTCCCCTCGAAAACCGGGGGGGCACTACCGGTTCGAACCCCCCCCCCCTCGAAAACCGGAGGGGGGGTCACTACCGGTTCGAACCCCTCCCCACCCCCCCCGTCACCGCCAGCAAACGACTCCTGGTCCCTACCACCATCCGCACCACATCCCCCACTGTTGTTCCCAGCACCACGGTCCTCACCACCACTGTCCCTACTGGTTCCACCACCGTCCCTACCGTCCCCACCAGTGCCCCCACCACTGTCGCACTGTTCCCACTGTCCCCGCCACTGTTCCCACCACGGTTCCACTCTCCCCACTTTTTCCACGGCCCCAACCACTGCCCGACTATCCCCACTGTCCCCACTGTCCCACTGACTCCTCCGCTGTCCCACTGAGCTGTCCCACTGAGCTGCCCCACTGTTCCCACCACTGTCCCCACTGTCCCCGCCACTGTCCCCACTGTACCTCTTTCCCATTGTCCCACCGCCGTCCTCGCCACCGCCTTCACCACTGTCCCCACCACCACTGTACCCTCCACTGTCCCACTGTTTCCACCACATTCCCACTGTCCCCACACCACTGTCCCCACCACCACCGTCCCCACAACTGTCCCACTGTCCCCACTGTTCCCACCATTGTCCTCACCACTGTCCCCACCACTACCGTCCCCATCACTGTCCCACTGTCCCCACCACTGTCCCGCTGTCCCCTCAACACTGTCCTCACCACCACCGTCCCTACCACTGTCCGCACCCCCCCCCCGGTTTTCGGGGGGGGGGGTTCGAACCGGTAGTGACCCCTCCCCGTTTTCGAGGGGGATGGGGGTTCGAACCGGTAGTGACCCCCGCCCCTTTTCATGATGGACTGGGGGGGGGAGGGGTTCAAACCGGTAGTGACCCCCCCGGTTTTCTGGAAGGGGGGGGAGGGGTTCGAACCGGTAATGACCCCCCCCTCGGTTTTCCGCCAGCAGCGGTAGAACACGCTCTTTCATATGTATGTGCGTGCGTGTGTGTGTGCATTTCATTCAAGTTAGCTAACTAACTGTGCGTATACGTGTGTGTATGTCGTCCATTCATGCACTCAATTACAATTGGATTACTGCCGTGGTAGATTCTAAAAGTATTCCTGCTGTATTCACAAGTATTTATTTTGATGCGGAATACAATGGGGTACGGCGTAATAGAGCAGATGTCCTTTTTGGTTGCGACTTACACTAAGGATTTCAAGTGTGGCGGATAGCACAAACATTCCTTTCGTGACGGAATGCAAACAGATCTGATTGGGAGCGGAATTCGCAGAATGTCTTTCTTCAGCAACGAACAAAGATCTTTTCATATACCGCCAACATAGGAATCCGGTTGTACTTTGCTACAACAAAAAGCCCCATTGAAATTGCTCAAGCGGCTGAAACATGCATATGGTTTTACTGTGTTTGGCTATCTTCCTACACTAATAGTAGTGTCGCCTGTGCCTTCACAGATGTTGAACTCTTTTGTCCTTCATAGGAAAACATGGTTTTCATGAGCAGACACCACTAGCATACTTATAAAATAAGGTTCCAACTATGGCAACTTGGCTATCCATAGTTCAAACATTATGATAGCTGTGCGTGCGCATGGGGAAAAACAAGGTTCTTCATACACACTACACATCGGAACAGACACAAGCGACATCAATACTTTCATGAGGAAATCCGCCACCGTGCCTTCAGCACGCAGTGGAATTCCCCAATGCTCATGCAGCCCTCAGCCTGAGAATCAAGGGGAATCTAAGGTTCTTTAGGGCCCAGACCCCTGGATTCCCAGGCGCTCCCGGGCGCTCTTGGTCGCTTATTCGCGCTCTTGGGGTGTGTCGCGTGGGGCTCTGGGATGGTGATCCCTCCCAACAGGGCCCACAAACGGGCTATGGGGACTTATGCCATTTTGAATGAGAACAGTCGCCGTCAGTTGCAGTTCTCGTCGCCGCCCGCGACAGTGAGGCGCTGGTGACGACTGCCACGAACTCGCCTGACGCCGTAGGCAGGTGCAGGCGTGCAAGAACTGCCCCAGGCCGACCTCGCGCGCCCGCCTCTCAGCCGCGAGGAGGCCAGGGAGCCGCGAGGTCTCGACGGGATCCCCATGCCACTCCACTTCGCTGGACCCCCGGGAGCCCACGAAAGCGGCGACGATTTCACACTTCGCAGCCCCCCCTGCAGCCGCGAGTTCTCAACTGGGTCCCCGTGCCACTCCACTCCGCTGGGCCTTCCAGGAGCGCACGAAAGTGGCGACAATTTCACACTTCGCAGCCCCCCAACTAGCCGCGAGGTTTCAACTTGACCCCCGTGCAGCCCAGCCCCGCTGGACCCAGAAGCGCGCGGAAGTGGCAACAAATTCCCACCTCGCAGCCCCTCTGGGGGGCGCGGGGTCTTGACGGAATCCCCGTGCCACTCCACTCCCTGGGCCTCCCTGGCAGCCGCGAACATAGCAACAATTTCACACTCCGTAGCCCCTCAGGGAGCAGCGAGGTCTCAACTAGATTCCAGGGCCACTCCACTCCGCTGGACCTCCCAGGAGCCCACGAAAATGGCGACAATCTCCCACTTCCCAGCTTCCCCCGGGGTCTCGCGAAGGTCTCAACTGGGCCCCCGTGCCGCTCCACTCCGCTGGGCCTCCCAGGAGCGC